AGGACAAAATGCTGGGATTAGGGGTATATGAGTGGGCCTACATAAGCTACTTCTGCCATTTCGGAACTATGTTTTCAAAATAAAGCTTATTTCTGCCACCTATAACGCAATTGGCGAGAATTATGGGGTGGAAAAATAAGGACGGGGGAACCTGCACCCCCTCCCTTACTCGTGTGTGATTGTAGCGCAAGCCGTACCCTGCACATAGAAACTATACATACTACTTTTACACAATTGGTATTATTGTAGGCCCTCATTATACGAATCACATACCTTTGCAGTACTGTTCGAGCGAGGTGGGTTTCAGGGGGGAGGGGGAGGAATCACTGGAGCCAGCCAGCGCGGGATCAATTCGCGCCTTAGCGAAAAGACGCGGTTCGCCCTCCTCAAAGTAGCTTTCGATGAGGGCATTCTTATCCCACCTGTGACGCTCCAAAAGGAGACGGATAAGGGTCTTGTGAAGGTTTATCACTTGTGACACATCTTCGATGAGTTCGGACATGTGACGGATGAGGTCCTCCGTGTTTAGAGCCTAGGACGGGGGTTGTGGACAAGGCGGACACATTTAATTAGTCAGCAATTTGAACAGGTGAAATAGGATCAGAAATGTGAAGTGCTTATAAGGATAAGAAATGACAGATACTAGGAAACAAGGCGCCCTAAGCCCCGTGGTTTTGAAGATTGTCAACTGACAACTGCACTCAGGCTTAGCAGCCAGCCCAATGTTTGCTTTTGTGGAATGGTCGGCAGGTGGTCAGAGTCAGGCATGTAATAGCTCCTTCTTACCGTGACCTCTGGCACTCTCACACGTGTGAGATGTGAGCCGCCCAACCCGCTTTGTGTGAAATCTTGCTGCCTATGTTTGGAGGCCAGGCCGTGTATGTGACAGACGCAGACGACAGCACTAGCTACGTCAGCCGTTGCGTCCATTCACTGCAGCAATCAGCTGACCGGCTCGGACAATGGCTGAGGCCCGGGAATGTCAGGAGGGTTAGATCAACGACTCAACGCATTTTC